GTTTACTCGCCAGACTGATATATATATATATATATATATATATGTTTGTTTGTAAAATGGCACAGTTTTATAAATATCTGAAAGTACACTCATAACATCAGTCAGGCAAGCATTATAATATGATAATCAATATTACTTAATGATAGAACTTTAGTAATTAGAATTTAAACTTGATAACCATGTATGAATGCATATTAGTCATTTTAACTGAACTGACTGGTGGTGGTGCTTTTTGGTCATTCAGTGTTTCTGTAAAAAAATAGGGTAAAAATTAAGAAGAATATTAATCAGGTTGTGTGCTTTCGCTCGAACTGATTTGCTGAAATCAAAACAGGGACGATAATAGGTGAGCACCAGCCAATGAGGAAAGCGGTAGTTCTTAAAAGCTGAAGAATTCCAATGGAACTCTGTTATTTTGACAGGAAAATACAACAAAGAATATCGTTTACATGTAGCGCGCATAGGTAGCGCGTCAATTCTCTCTCTCCCTCTCTCGCTGCGTGTGTGTGAAACAAAGCGACGGCGAGTCGTGCGCCTTCACACTAGAGTTTACGGTACATTAAATACAGGTGCGTTGCACATCCATTCAGATGAACTGAAAAACAGCACAGATCGCTTGGCGGAGAGTGAAACTGATGCGCTCAGTCAGAGAGTGTTCGGCGAGTGAAAATATATCTGAGCTAAACTTATACTTAGCCTCCAACTCACACACTGGCACAAATCTGATAATTTATTAGCAATTGGCTAATATTAGACATCATTTAGTCGCCCAGAGTGAAGATTTAGTCGCATATGCGAGTGATTTACTCGCAATGTAGAGGGTTGAAATCACATTGGCAGTCACCTGCATGCATTTTAGCAACTCCAAGAAAGCATCAAACCCTTCAAGATACTTCTCCCTGAGTTGGTCGGTCCACTCTGTTGGACGGCTTATCAGGACATACCTGCATCCAAGAGAAACTCATCATTACACGCATCTCAAAAATTGGGAATTTTAGACACACAAATATAACTGTATATAAAAATGGGCAGACACACTCAGTATCTTACTTGAGGTCTCCTATAAGGCTCTGGACCCGGCGGAATTTGAAGGCTTGCTGTGCGGTGTAGCGTTCAAACTGAAAGTGGCCCTGCAGGTCTCGGTGTCTGAGGTGGTCCATGAATGTGCAGATGATGGTGGTCATCAGGTTCTCTTCTGTGATCAACATCCGAGCCTGGAAAATTAAATACACCATTGCCACATCTGGCAGACCGCTGGAGGTTTGGGTCGTAAGCTGTATGCGAAATTCACTTTTATTGAGAGAAGATGAGACAGAAGAGAACAATGACAAAGGCAAGGGAAAGGAAGGAGGAAAGAGAGGAGAAAGCAGATGTGGAAGTGCAGAAGAAAATGAAAGAGGGGGAAGGAAGTGGAAAAGCGAAGAGGAAATACATTTTTGGTTTTTGACAAAACTAAATAATTTACTGATAGGGAGACGTTTAATTAGTACTTCTCCAATTTCAAATTCTAGAATAATTTAAATAAAAAAAAATCTAATAAAAGAGCTTGTAAATTATGTCAAGTAACTTTACATTTACCTCAAAAAAGCCATTCAATGTCCATATCTCATTCGTCAGCTAGAAAAAAAATAATTTTAGTATTTTGCTAAATATATGCACTATTTTACAAATTCAATTTATTCTTTACCTGTTAGTGATGTCTCATTTATTGTGTTTGAATAAATTTTTCATGAAAACTTAAACTTAAATATTTGTATTTCAACAACAACATAGTTATACCATTACATAATTAAATTACAAATTTTACAAAAGTTATGCGCAACTTAAATATTTACAATTCATATTTACAATTTTTATTACTAAATACATTTGATTAATTATTAATTGATTATTATCAGGGCTGTCAATCAATTAAATTTTTTTAAAGTAATTAATTAAACAATGTTTTGATTAATTAATCTAATTAATCGCATATTAATCACACATCAAATTTGGCTGAGAAATTACCCATAAAAGATCATTTAAAGCCATAGTTGTGTTACATGAGAAAAGTATGAAATAGATATTACAAAAAGTAGCTTTAGAAATATTTTTTTTTACCTTTTCTTTTTTTTCTTTTTCTTTTTGTTTTTTTAATTAGTTTTTTATTAATATGTATTTTTATTAATTTGTCTTTTTTTTTTTTAATGAAATGATACAACAACAAACTAAAACGGTTTTATATCAATACTATTTTAAATCACTTTAGTTTTCCATAACTAATTAATTGAATTAACACATTAAACTGAAAGCCCTAATTATTATACTATTTTACATTTTTGGCTAAATAAAAACTTTACTTTCAGTTTCGATAAAAAAAATTTAATTCAGTGCATTACTAGTAAAGAGGAAATAGGAAGGAACAATTTTAAAATGAAATAGGAAAGGGAAGAGAAAGAGTGAAAAGAAAAAAGGAAAGAGGAAAAGTAAATGGAAGAAGAGACCAAAAACCCAAAACGACAAGCCTCTTCCTCATGGCAGGCCGTCTCTCTTTGCATAGGGTGACCATACGTGCCATTTTCCCAGGACGCGTCCTGGCCAGGATTTCTATATTGCCTAAAATATCTAGGTTTTGGCTTTGTTTGCGTGTGCAGACCGATCGGTGTATGACATCAAAGTACCATACAGACGGTTATGCTTTCGAAATACTCTCGAGGTACTTTGAAGTCAAACACTGATCGGTCTGAGCCGCACTGCTTTTAAGTCGAACACACCTAATATGTACGCGTAATTGCATCGCTTTGACCGTAGATCCCACATTCTCACACGCCATGATTGGTCCATTATGTACAATGCTTGCATGTTATTGGTCAAACTACTTTTCGATCATTACCTTCAGCAAGCATGAAAACAGGAAAACAAAGCCAAAACAAATCCTGGCCAGGACGCGTCCTGGGAAAATGGCACGTATGGTCACCCTTATCTTTGCATGTACTCACCAGAGAGGGCACGGTGAACATTTGCACAGAAAGATCAGTGACGGAGAACTCCCTGTCGTGGTCGTCTTTCACGTAGTCGCTCTGCAAGCACTCATAGTTCTGCAGGCAGTGGTGAAGGGGGCGGAGGAGAGGAGAAAGAGGCAGAAGAGAGAGGAGAGGTGTGTGGGATTGGCGGTACTCACCACAGTGGGGGCGGTGAAGAGCTGCACTGACAGAGAGGTCACTGACACTACACGCTCATGATCGTCCTCCATAAAATCTGTCTGGAGGCGCCGGTAATTCTAAGGGAAGGGGGCAGATTCACCTTCCGGGTCAGAGGTCAGGGGCCATCAGCAGTTACGTCCCCCGACTCGGTTCTATGTCAGGCACACGCAGCCTTTAGCTGCACCGTGGCACTGGGGCAAGTGTGGAGCCGGGGGACTCGAGCTAACGCTAAACTTTAAATACTATTTTTATAGTAGACTTTCTAGAGTTGTTTAAGCTAAGGTACAAATCTGTCAGCCACACCTGTGCCGGGGCCCTATGATTTCCGCAATGTGGATTTACAGTATAATAAGTTACAGTTTGTCTGTGCATATTAAAAAAAAGACAAAAAGACTGCAATTTAAATATGAAGTCTGAATGCTCTGGACGTCTGTGATTGAGTGATGCTGTTTCGTCTACTACATCATCTTAAGCACGAGCAATGCTTGTGGTCTTTTCAGCCTCTGTGGTCTAAATATATAAGGACATGAACTTCATCTCCAGCTCTGCTCTGAGAGTCACTTCACCAGCATTTCACAATTTCATTTGATAAAGCTATCGTCACACATACAGAAACTCAAAAGGTTTCACGATAACCCACCTAAATAAAAGTTGAGTTTAATTTTAAGTAAGTGTGAGAGCAATATATTACTATTGTACAGTATAATGTACTTATCAAAATAATAAATAATAATAACAATAATAATAATAATACATTTATTTAAGGAATATCGGACAATTTTTTTCATGTTTTAATTTTAAAAAGTAAACCTCTGTTGTGCAGCAATTCGTTTGAAAACAAATAAAATAAAGGAATTGTTACATTTTAATTTGATTACATTTTAAAATATTAATTAAACTTAATGTTTTATGCCATCATTTGATTACCACTATTTTTTGATAATAAATTTGATAATAATTACATTTAAAATCAAGAAAATATTAATACAGAAAACACAGGATTTCTGAAAAAAATAAAACATTTTATAGGAACATATTATTGTAAAAATGTTAAAGGGTTACTCCACCCCAAAATGAAAATTTTGTCATTAATCACTTACCCCCATGTCGTTCCAAACCCGTAAAAGCTTCGTTCGTCTTCGGAACACAATTTAAGATATTTTGGATGAAAACCGGGAGGCTTGTGACTGTCCCATTGACTGCCAAGTAAATAACACTGTCAAAGCCCAAAAAAATATGACAGTGTTATTTACACCCAAAATATCTTAAATTGTGTTCCGAAGACGAACGAAGCTTTTACGGGTTTGGAACGGCATGGGGGTAAGTGATTAATGACAAAATTTTCATTTTGGGGTGAAGTAACCCTTTAATAAATTATTTAAATTGTTAAAGATTTATTAATTCAACTGATTAGAAGAAATTTGGGAACAAATAAAACATTTCATATGTCCATAAATTAATTTTTGTTAAATTTTTAATAAATTGAATACATGATTTCAATTAGAAAAATTAAATGGACAAATCTGAGAAAAAAAAGAAGAAGAGAGATTTCACAGGGCCCTACACCAGAGTGCACACAGAGAGAGAGATTTCCTGCTGTCACAGCACGACTGGTTCAGTCGGAGGACTGCAGCGGGCAGCGAATCAAAGACAGCTCCGCTAAGTCATAGCATCTCTCTCTATTACACATGCTCTCTCTCTGAGACGATACCCCTCACTGAACAGGGAATGACTGCTCAAACTCTCTTATCCTCACAGATCAGCTGAACCAAACTGAGTGTGAAGTGAACTGGATGTTCTAGTACGAATACAGACTTGGCATATTCTAGACATGCTTGTGGAAACTGACATCAATTCTGTCTCTCGGCATGGTGCAGTAAGTTTATAACATCTATAACAGCGTTGATTACCACAGAAAATAATTTAACCAGTTAGTAAAAACATTTTCATTTTCAGTATAGCACTTACACTGGAATGTGTGTGGAATTTGCTCCATGTAAAATATGTTTTAATGACGATATCCTTGTGAATACTATGTGGAAATTATCGTCATGACTTGAGTTAGTACCATTAGATAGTTAGAAGGCAACTGTTTTCATGCTAGTCTACTGTTAACAAGTATCATGTTTTGTTGCAATGCTTTCGAAAATGTATGCAGTTTAATGTTTATTCTTAAGTGATGCCTTGCACTATAATGGAAGCTTGTTTCTGCCATTGAATTTAAAAAAAAAAAAAATTCTAACAATTCTGACTTTTTTCTACAGATTGTGAGTTTACATAATATAGATAATATAGAGATATCAATTGAGAGAGATAAACACGCCATTGTGAGTTATAAAGTCAGAATTGCATGATCTAAACTCGCAATTGCGAGTAAAGTTATAATTTCAGAACTGCGAGATATAAATGTACAAAAGTGACTTTTTTTCCTCAGAATTGGATTTTATAACATACAATTGCGAGTTATATCTTACAATTCTGAGAAAAAAGTCAGAATTACGAGATATAATCTCAACCACCAGAAAAAAAGTCTGAATTGCGAGTTTATATCTCACAATTACTAAGTTTTATCTTGCAATTGTGGGGGGAAAAAAATCAGAATTGTGAGATATAAACTCGTAATTGCAAGATGCATACTTGGAATAGCGAGAAAAAAAGCCAGAATGCCGAGTTTATATCTCGCAATTCTGACTTTTTTCCTCAGAATTGTGAGAAAAATAAAGTAATTGTGAGATATAAATTCAGAATTGTGAGGGGAAAAAAGTCAGAACTGTCAGATAAAAAGTCGCAATTAGATTTATTGAATTGTGAGATATAAATTCAGAATTGTGAAGGGGAAAAAAGTCAGAACTGTCAGATAAAAAGTCGCAATTAGATTTATTTTCATTTTTTTTATACCGTGGTGGAAACAGGCTTCTGTAGAATATAGACGTTCAGTGCAAGAGCATTAACATAATTTGGAAAATATTCTCTGTGGTAAATGACAACATGACAAATTCTAACTTGTAACTTGGACCCAGAACATTTAACACGTCAAACCCACTTGTACTTTGTCCAGTCACTGAATCTAAAAACAACATTTAAAAGGTTAATTCACACAAAAATGAAAAATTTAAAATCATTTACTCATCCTAAATCAATGAGGTTTGTTCTTGTGTGTCAAGCAAGTAGAGCTGAGCTTCTGTTTATCTTATTCATGTTCTCCATGTAGGTGTTTGTCTCTTCAGAAGACTTGGATTAAACCACTCAATGCATATATGGATTACTTTTACAATGTCTTTATGATGTAGAACGAATATCTTGCTGGTTTGGAACGACATAAGGGTGAGTAATTGATGACAGTTTTTTTCATTTTTTGTTGAACTATCCCTGTAATGTACAGGTTGTCATGGAGTCCCAGAAAGCCTGACTTTCAAAAATGTTGCTCTGTGCTGTAAAGACACAGAGGGCTCAGATATGGGTGTAAAGCCAGTGCCAATGAGTTGCCTAAACCCATCCCTCAGTAATCATGACAATGCAAACTCCGGTGGGTGCATGTGCCAAATTTTCTCCACTTTTTGGGGCTTCATGGGGTTTAATGTCAATCAATATAAAGACTGTGCCATTGCAAATGGAAGTCTTACCTTTGCAAACTGGATGGCAAAACGTTTTTTGTATTTTGAATCCATGAGTAAGCTGCTCATAAAGAGCTGGTGGTAAACATTTCTCGCTCCTGCAGGAAACACAAGATTAAATACATCATTAGCGTAACTGGGTGAATCTCACAAAACCCATCAAGTACATGCCCCAGTCATATTTCACCCCAAAAACAAAAGAAACAAACAGAAAAGTATGGTTAGTTCATTTTAAAGTGTCCTTGTTACAGTGTAATTATACAATTAAGTACTGAGCAATATTAATTAACAACATGTACTTTCTACAGAGTCAGTTGCTTTAATTACGTAGAGTTTACAGTTACTATTACTATAGTAAGTATATGTAGCGTGTAACAAGAACACTGTAAAATATGATTACCAATTTTGTTTAATTTGTAAATGACAATTAATTACATCCTCATTACTGTAGTGCAAAAAAAACTGATTTATATTAATATAATTATCTTGCTAATTTAAACTATTGTATAATAGGATTGTTTAATAATGAGAATGGCACTCAACTGAGAATAATGGCAATAAAAACTTAAAACATACAGACACATTACAGTAATGAGACTTTGAAGGGAAATTAGTCTTGCTTCATTCACCTTTCCACATCTTGGAGTCACAGAGCATGAGCGTGTCCACCAGGGAAGAGTTATCTCCCTCTGGTCCTCGCTGCAGACCCACCTGACACAGGATCCTCCTCAGAGCATCTGTTGGGGACAGCAACAAACTCAGGCACTGATTCATTACAGCGGTCTAACACAGAGCACACTGCTAGATTAAAACGGTCATGACACAAGAAATCAAATGTGTCTTGACCTTTTGACATATAAGAGGTCTTTGTACCATTAAATCATTCAGCAAGTTTCATAGCTTAAAATGTCCTCAAATAGCATTTATTCAATCAAGTTCAAAAAACGGCTCGTTTGGATATTGGTGGATTTGTGATGTCACACAAGCACACACATTTGCATAAGACTGCCTCAAGAGAAAGACACTGTCGCACCATAGGCGTTCACTCGCCTAGGAAACATTAAAATAATGTGGCAAAAAATCCAGGGCTTTGCAGAAGATAAAGCAGAAACTGAATAATAATACTTTTCCTGAAGAGCTTGAAAGGAAAGAATACAAAGGAAAAAAGAGAGGGAGAGAGAGAGAAAGTGACACAAATGCAGAGACTGACCTGAGTATCTGATGATTTGGCCGAGCCAGGTGAGAGCTTTGAGTGCAAAACACTGATGAGCCACTACAGAGGAGTGCATGACTTGAACCCGCAGGGGTTTCGTCTGCCGACTTGTGTTCCTCTGCAAAACATGTGTCCAAACATATTCACAAACAAATGACATTTACATGAACACTGTAATGATGCTTTAATTTCTGCAAAGTTGCCCCCGCAATGCTAAATTGTTGTGAATGGTTGCCAAGGTGTTGCTATGAAGTGCTAAGTCCCTCCTTCAATGTCAGTCTATGAGATTTTTTTTTCACTCTTTTTATCGTCTGACATGAAAATCTTCTTTTGCCTGTTGCTGAAACTGCTATATGCAAATTGGGGATCATTTATCCATAAAACTTAAATGTCCTACTTAACCAAACCTTTCAGTAAAAAACAAAAAAAAAAAAAAAAAAAAAAAAAAAAAAAAAAAAAAAGAAAAAAAAAAAAACTTCTTTCACACACCGAAGAAAAAACAAACTAAAACTGATTTAAAGTGTTGATTAAAACTATAATAGGATCTCAGTGATACTAAACACTGATTTCAAACTGGAACGAACTGCTTTACACATCTGAGGAAAACGGATGGGATTTGTGACTGTTTAGAACTTACCACAATAACAGATTTGGCCTGCTCACAAAACTGGAAGTCCCCAAAGCGAACAGACTTCCTGCCCTGAATACAGTGAACAGAAGTAATCAATGAACAAAAGCAAGAACATGCTGTGCTTAACCTTAAGCCTGAATCATGGCACTGTGGAACTAACAGCAGGTCAACTTACATCTCTGTCCACGATGGTGGCGAAACTGACGGCCTCTTTCTGAGTGCAGTTAACTGCTTTCTGTAGTGTATAGATGACCTGCTCGTACGTGTGGACCTCATCGTTGAACAGCATGCAGTAGTACGTGTCTCCACGCACCCTTAAGAAAAAAATAAAAATAAGCAAGTTACATTTCTCCCAATATGCTAACATGCAGTAACCAAAAGCGATTGCATGCATGACGGATGATCCTGAGGGATTAAACTGTACCCCCTAAAAATGTGTTCTTCTAATTAGGGATATTAGGGATTTAACCCCAATAAGCTTCTCAGTCATTTTGACAGATTTTGTTTTGTTGTTTAAAAAAAAAAAAGTTTGCTCAATCTGAGTGTTGTTAAACTTGGTGACTTTTTTTTAGATATCAAGATAGCAATCTGAAAAGTCTCTACACTTCAAAATGACTAGATAATGTCTAAATTAATATCCAAATGTGTATTTTTTTTCTTTCTAAGCATAACATCAAGAATTCTTGTGCAGCATTTGGATGCATAGGACACTTTTATTTATTTTTTTCACCAGATGGCAGAAATCTAGCCCAAATGCATGATAAATTCTCATATTTTCTTTGTTTAAACTCATAGAAGTGTATAATTTTACTGTAATGAAGTTCCAAAAGTTTGTGTATTTGCTTATAAAAATAAATGGTGTAAAAAAAAATCTAAAGATCTATATGAACCAAAATCCCAACAGTGGTGCCAAATTTATTTGTTAGTACTTCAGGGTAAGCAGTTTCATATAGTTTTATTATAAAAAAAAGTTACATTCTTACTGTTCCTAGTCAAAAACGACCATGAACAGCTAATGTGTGACTCTTTTTCTTAACGCTTAGGAGGGTAAAAAACAGGCCATAGTATGAGTGCTAATGTGTCTTACGGTGGCTCAAGGCCTTCAGGTAGCTCATCCTCTTTGTCCCAGGTGAGCATGTCCACAGCATATTTGAGGATGATGGAGAAAACATTATATGTGCGAGCAATCATCTCTTCAGACATATTAGCCAAAGGATCCTGCCAAACAAAACAGGGAACACAAGGGTTTGTTTTAAGGTTGTGACGGTGAGGAAATTTTCCCACCGGTTAATCGATGCGTGACAACACCGGTAATACTGGTATCACGGGGGGTGGAATTCGTTGGGGTTTTCCCTCTTTTCCTCGCTTTCCTTCGCTTTTAAATAGCTTGTAAATGCCTGTGCGCATTTTACTTTCGAATTAGTGGCAATCTGCAGTCAATTGCTTGAATGGACAACAACAAAACGACATATATAAAAACTGAAAATCAGCAAACACTAGGGATGCACCGATACTGGTATCGGTATCGGGCCCGATACTGAGCTCCTGTACTCGTTAAAATTCCCCGATACCAAATGCTGATACCACACAGCATGTGATAAGTGCCATATTCAGACAAAGAAACACCGACAACAGACAGCACAATGGTGTTATTAGAGATTAAAGATGTCTACGAAGTATATGTATGAACTCACTTATATTAAACATAGAACTTCTGTAAACAAACCGAATAAAAATACACCATGCTATAGGCCTAATATAAAATAAATTACTTACACAAAGTTTATATATATAAACTTTGTGTAAGTAATTTATTTTATTTAT